CATATTTTTACACCAGGTGACAATTCTGTTTTGTTTTGGTTTTTAAAATACCAATCACCCACAATGAAATTTATAAGTACCATCTTAAATAACTGCACGTACCTTCAATTATCATTGCTTTTAATACATGTACATGTAATAACCTTAAAATTTGATCTGGCTATGTCAAGTTCAGTTCACAAACCTACCACAAAAAAAGTGACAAATTTAGTGAGGCTGCCATCTTTGTTAGCCATATGTGGATTGTCACCAAAGATTGCATGTACACACAATCATACATGTAACAATAGTCAGAGTGGTTTTCATTTGACTGAATGTTAAAAAGTAATTAAGTTTTCATCAATAACGCAACACAACTGGGTGAAAAATTCTGTGCTACTTTTTCATCCAATGAGAAGTAAAAGCAAAACAAGTTGTGACGCGCTCACATAGGTTTTTCCACATTTCGCATTGATAGCTACAGGTGATTTCTTCAAGTTTTGATTGGTTCACTGTATTCTCAGTGTCATTTTTGATTGCCCAGAGTAATGACTTGGTTTTGGTTTTAAGACACTCACTGAAAATCGCTCTGTAGATGCAGTTTGTCATGTACTACATGTATGTACTACTTTAACTACTGTACTTGTGGTAGCTATATTGTAATGTTCAATAATTTTATTATTGAATTACAAAACATACTTGCAGCATTAAAGAGTTTTGATGTCTCATAGGTGAGTCCAGAGATCAGTGATGCTTTATGTTTGAGCTCTACTGCTCGAGCCACAGTAACTGAAAATAGAACAAAGAGATCATCAATTCACAGTTGTAAGCTACTACTGTAATAACAATCACCTGATAAACAGCTTCTAATCATCATTACTGTTTTTAAAACCAGTCAAAACTGATCCTGCCAAGAATGGCTGATTCTTTCAAGTTAGGCACAGTAAAGAGAAGACACTTGAGGTATACCAATTGATGAATGCAAAGTTGGAGTAAAGAAAAGCATTAGGCTGATGATTGAAGATATCAATGTTGTGATTTGGATCAGCCACATGTGCCGTATTAAAAAATTACTCTGTTCTAACCTTCCTGAGCTTCAGCCACGCACTGCATCTGGTATGCCTCCAACACTCGCTGATCAGTATCAGCACCCTTTTCAGCTGATAATTCACCAAGACGGGGCATCAGACTCTCCTTCAAAACAAAATAAACAGAATGAAAATGAAATAAAGATTAAACTAATGTTTATCATTGGTGGAAATTCCATCATATAAATCATAGTATGACTAAGAATGTTGCCAAGCTTTAACAGCCATGTAACATTATCTGCAAGTTTTTAAGATTCACCAATAAGTCTCAATCATCAATGACACTGGATGTGTGTGTACATGGAGAAAGGCCAGGCAGGGCTGGCAGAGTACATTTTTCTTAGCAGGACAATACTGATCGTCGACCACTGTGCCTTTAAATGCCGCAATTTATCTTCATTGAACCCTGGGACACATTGTTTGAAAGTATTGGCTCCTGTGGGCCCTTAGACTACGAGTAGTCCCTCTTTCGCTTAGTCCTTCGTGTGTGACACAAAAGAAAACCGTGAGAAAAAAATGGCCACGCAAAATCCTGGAGGCGAGGAGCGTGTGAAAGGAGGGACTACCGCCTAAGCCCAAGAGTTTGAATTATGCGTTGCTCTCACAATGCAAAAATTGACTCAAGACATGTGTGACGTCTTGCAGGAATGTTTTGGAACCAGAGCAAATCGAAGCAGTACCAGAGCAAATTGAAGAATCACACTTTGCAAGCCGTGATGTTCTTGTGAATGTGCCAACAGGCTCTGTAAAGATTTAAATTTATCCAGCGTTTTGTTTGGCAAAGCTTTCCGCCTCCAACCCAACTGCAAGCATGTTAGTGATTTCGCCACTCAACAGCATTGTCCAAGTCAGTGAATATAAGTTCACTGAGCTTGGCCTTTCTGCCGTCCATTTGAAAGATTGAACCGGACTTTCACTTGAAACTGGACATTCACCTTAAACTTTTCGCTGTTATCCGCAAACATTTCATCGCAGAACTTGGATGATTTCCTATGTCAAATACATAATGTAAATTCTCGGTTGAAACTCTGCGTTTGAAATTTTTGCAATAACTTTTAGATTTACACCTACAGGATGTAGCGAAAATCGTTACAAGATGCCTCATTCGCCGTCTTCTTTTTAAAACTTCCTTAGCAGTTTCGCTGAACGAACACTGAACGAAGATATACTTCTCATGGCATATGTTTTTGCCTGGCTACTTGAAAAGTAGAGTAGAGTAGAGCAATTTTATTCAGGATATCTCCCAGGGTTATTGACAACAGGAGATAATGAGACGACGTCAAGATGAGAAATCCTACCCCAAAAACTCATTCGGCAGCGAAAGGGCAAACTCTTGGGCTTACTTTAGGCGGTAGTCCCTCCTTTTGTGCGCTCCTCGCCCCCAGGATTTCGCACAGCCTTTTTTTTTCTCGCGGCTTTCTTTCGCGTCACGCACGACGAACTAAGCGAAAGAGGAACTACAGGTAGTCTGGTGGGCCCTTCAATTACCCACTGGATAAAAAGAAATGATGAGGATTTTAATTTTTTATGTAGAAAAGTGTATATAATTGTTACCACTTTTCTGTGGAGTGTGAGACTAATCAGAGTTCTGGCTGTGCTTTGACCAACCAGGCACAGAGGCATTTATTCAATGAACAAGTTTTAAGGACATTTTTTTTTGGTGTATTGTCATTACTGCAATCCAAACTGCTAAACTGTGGTTGATACCTGTATATTAAATATTTTAAAAGTTCATTTTTCATAAGTTAATTAACAATTTATGGTGATCTAGGAGATTTAATTTATTTAATACCTTGACAAATTTGAAAATCCCTGCAGCAGTTCTTAAGCTGGTGTGGACT